CCTCCCCAGAGTCTGAGCCGGCTGCACCTGGGAGGCTACAAACATCTGCATCACACTCCATAGCCCTGGCACCAGCTCTCTGGCTATGGCGGCTGTATGCACAGCTCCAGCACATGCTGGGAAGGGACCTGAGGGTAGTGCAACCCTGGCCCCACACCTGCTGTCTGCCCACAGAGCCAGTGCTGGGTGCTGTGGTGCCCATTGCAGCTGTTTGCATCCTGCCTGCCGCCTGCTGCAGCTGTCCAGAGCCTGGGCCGGCTGTGGCAAGCAGCCAGAAGGCTGCAAACTGCTGTACTGGGGTCCCCAACCTGGCTTCGTGGTGGTGGCAGCTGCCCGTGCACCTTGGGGAGGGACCAGGATTGTGGTGCCCCAGGCTCCTTCCCGGCTGTGCGCCCAGAGGCACCCACACAGCTGCCACCATGGAGTCCATACTGGGGCTGTGAAGTCTGGCACAGCTATTTCCAGCCTCCTGGCTTCCTGCCATAGCTGGTCCAGCCTCTGGGCAGCTGCAGCAGGTGGTGGACAGGCTGCAAACAGCTGTGCCAGGCTCCGGAGCCCCAGCACCAGCTCCATGGCAGCAGTGGGCGAGGAAGGTGCTGGGGCAGTGCCACCCTCCCCTGCTGCCCGCCCGGAGGCACACGTGCAGCCACTGCCGGCAATGTGGATCGGGCCCCTCACATCTCCCCTGCCTCTGGCATGCCAAGCCAAGGCACAGATGGAGGTTGGGGTGTTTTTGGTATTCCAGCCAAAAACGTTGCTGACCCCTGGACTACAGTCCTCCTAATTGTGTATTCCAGGATTATGGAGAAGCCAGAGGAAAGAAGGGCAAATGAGAATGGGTGAAAAACTTCCAACCTTCCAGGACTGTTGTTTTTGTTTTGGCTGCTGTGCGTTTAATTGGTTAAAGTGAGCGGAGACATATGTAATGTAAGCACCTTACCAGATACCTGTGTGTAAAGCATGGCTCGTGTTCTAAAATATCTCTCCTGGTCTGTACTGGCAGGGGGTATCAGACGATGAGGCCTGCCGCATTACATAGTGTGCTATCGACTGGTTAGAAACCTATAAAAACGTAGAGCCTACCTACAACTAGGCAAGAAAGGCATTGCAACTAACTGTTGCTCAGAACCCCTGAAGTTCTGTCATCTAGGCAAGACTCTGTGTCCACACGCAACAGCCACCCTCAGGAGTTTACCAGCCATTGTCATGCCAAAGATGAAACACTTGGGTAGAGAATGAGTGCCCAAGACATCCCTGGAGTAACTCCACTGACTTCAGTGGATAAATTTGGCCCCTCGCAGATTGAACGGTTTATAAAATGGCTTGACAGCTTGGACAGTTCTTGCTTACACTGGTGTAAGAAACCCTGGTCCCACTCTTCTGGCAGAGCTGAAGCACCATCTGCTAGAGGAGTTATGACTCTCTAAACACACTGCAGCCAGGGCTTTAGACTGCAACCAAAAAGAAAGGCGAGAAGACAACATAACTCAATTGCCAACCAGTTTGCAATGTAATCAAATGTTAGCAAACAATGGACTGCCCTGTCCCAGCAAAGAAAAAACATTGTTTACTACAACTGGTTGTGCAAATCAAGTGGAGTATGCACAGAAGGTAAGAGCCACCTCCAACCAGGCATCTCTTTAGCAGCTACTGTAAAGTATCCAAGGCTTCTAGTGCAATTTTGTTTGACCTTGAATTGCGGACCAACCTCCCACGCCTCAGATGACCAAGTTCTACGGCTCCCTTTTGGAAGGTGCTTACGACAGATTTTATCATAGACTACATATTTAAGCAACCATTCAAGTAATAAGACAGTGGCAGTGGTATGGTTGAACAGTCAAACCAAATCAAAGCTGCCTCATGAGTTTCCTGTGAGTTGAGATAGCAAAGTGTGCTCTTTTACTGTGCAGTTCAGTTCAGGAGCTTCACAAACCAACTGGCCAGAGGTCCAGCACCACCTCAAGTACTTAGGTAACTCAAACACAAAGTCAACGTATGTGCTAATAAACTGAGTGGTAAGTGCCCAGTTATATACCTCAGGCCTATCTCGCAGCCCTTCCTCATGGGATTACCCACAATGGAGAGGCTGTGGGGTCAGGGCCAGACTGAAAGTTACAGTACCTGTAGGACTCATGCCCTGACTTTTCTCCGGCCAGTTCTATAGTAAAGTCATTGCTTAAATTGTCTCCTTCAGCATACAGTACAGTCAGACGGGATCTGTGTCAGACATCTCCGTGCATTCTCAGAAGACTGTTAGCTCATCCCCCTAAGCTTCATAGAAAAATAAATGTTAAGTCATGATTCATTTAACAGAGCTGGTGGCTGGAAAGTCTTTTGCTCTCCAACATCCTTCATCCTGTTCTTTCAAGGAGGTGGAGGTAGCTTCAGATCCAATAAGCTGTAGGCGAAAATATTCCAGAAGATAGCAAACAACACAAAGATGATATAAATGGAAAGGAAGATCCACCATAAGGACTGGTCTTGAAGTCTTTGTTCATAGTTCCTTAGGATGACAACACCCAATGTGATTCCAACCACCACGCCACCCAAGTGGGCGACAAAACTCGGGTGTGGGCAGGGAGGGTATGCAGATGGGTGGAACCGCAGCCACACCGCCCTTCCAAATTCAAAGCTCACTGGAACAGAGAGAAAAAAAAAGATGAGGCCATTGTCTTTCTCAGCTCTCACATCCTGCTAGCTCCTGGATAGCATGGCATGCACACAAATAAAATGTACACAATGCAGCAAGCAAGAGGGAAGTTGCAAAGATAAATCTGGGGGATCCACTTGTGCTACCTCAAATGCAGGACATTTAGTGTCACTGCAACTAGGCAGAGAAAGGTGCTGTTTTATTTTCTTTCTTTGACCAGGTGTTTCTTAGCACTGCTCTTGTTTCCTACTAGTTTGGATGTTCTGCTGTTTCTTGGTGCTGATCACCTATTCAGTGCTATATGTTATATAATAGATGAAAATAAACAACATTAGAGGCAGATGTTTCAGTCCCAGCAATCTCACATGAATGTCAAAGAGAATTAAATTTCATGCAGTTAGTGTCATACGGGGCTTCTTGCTTTGCATATTTAATATTCCCTGTGAGCAAGACAAGGCAACCCTTGGCATTGATGGGGTGGCCACAGAAATATATTTGGAAAACAACTTGAACATGGAGCTCTGCTTTCCTTCAGGATGGGGCCATGCCAAAACTTCACTTCTATCCCCCTGGCCTCCATCTTTGTGAGAGTTCAGTCTCTCCCTCTGTCACTGTCCCTTGCTTCCTCTTCATTAGGTCCAGTTGGCACTTGTTAACTGGACCTCTCTATCAACTTGCTCTTAAGTCAGGTGAATCAGATCACCCTCTGCACTCCTAGTTCATTTTCCCAAATTCCAACAGTAAACGCATCCCTAATGGCTTGTGCCTTGGCAGGAAAGTTGTCAAATATTTTCACATTAAACTTAGCAACCTTAGATGGAATCAAGTGAGTGGTAAGAAGATGAAGATAGCCCCCTTCTTCTCTAGGTCACTAGTCTGAATCAGGCATGGGCCTGTCACCAAAAACAGACACCAGATAAAACTAGGTGAGAAGAAAAAATGGTCCTTGTCTAGGTGCTAGTAGGTAGCCCTACCACAGATAGTGACCCTGCTGGCAACTTCACCTGGCAAGCCAGGGACTGGATCAAGGTAGAACAGCTCAAGATGAGCCCTGCAGAGAGCAGGCAAGTGGCAAGGAGCTGGCACGGATGCTGCTGCACCTGTTCTGGGAGTTCAGTTTCAGAGCTGAGGGCAGCAGTATTTTTTAAAGGGTTATGAACCCCCGCAGAAATTTAAAAGTCTCCATCAGAGAATAACTTAGAATAAATTTGGGTGCCTTTTGCATGACCCCTGATGTAGCTTTAACTTTGCCATCAGCTCTGCTTCAAGGAGAAATTCTGATGTACGATTCCTACTTTCCACATGATTCTGAAATCCTGTGATGCTATGTAATCAAATGTGAGCTGCAGGTTCCTGGTCCTATTGTGGTTGGAGCCAGATAGCTTTGCCTGAAGTTCTACCAGTTACTGATAGACAACATAATAGGAATGATGCGTAATACCAGTGATACAAGCCTACTTTTGCTTCTAAACAGATGGACAGCGCAGCTAACCCTTGAGTGCATGGGATTATGAAAAGCCAGCTGGGACTGGAAAACTCAGGAGCTATGGCTGTGATTGTGGTCTCCTACACTGCCAGACTTGAGTGATTTGATAGGGTTACTTCAGCAGGCCAGAGGCTAGCATGCAGCTAAAACAACTCCAGTAGCAATGGACAAATCCTTTTGCATGGGCAGCATGTTGGCAATCCATTTCATCTTTGTTTCTTCTCTGGCTGAGCCCCCACTCCCACCCCTGTGTACCAGCACTGGGAATTTGCTGCTGCCCGACATGATCACATGCTGTTTTGGCAGCAGCTTTCAGCTAGCCATTCCTTGGCCCCAGAGCTGACCCTGCCGGCGTCCTCAGCTGCAGAACTTGCTTCCTTTGCTGATCCATCAATCTGGCCTTGGTCACCTGCAAAGTTTGGTGCCAGATGCTGTCAGCAACGTTAGCTTGCTCTTGCCCCTTTTTGAAGCTGGGTAGCTTTTGGTCCCTTGACAGGGAGGGGGGAAATGAGAGCAGAATGAGGCTTTTGCTTTTTACACAATCAGTTACTCAGGTGAGGAATGCTGAATAAGTGTCTATAAAACCTACATCAAAACCACCACTTCCTTTGCAGAGGGGATGCAGCAGGTCCTGCAGAGCTGCTAGCTGTGCTGCTACTTTAGCTAGGAAAACGGTTGAGGAAATTATTGTATACTCAAACACTCAAATTAGCACGATGAATACTGACTAATGGTTAAACTCCAACCCTGTGAGTCAGCGGATGTCTGACTTTTTGCGTCTGGTCTGGACTTCAGTATTTAGGTTCTTAACTCCCATCAAACCTGGCTAAGCGCTTTGGAAAATCCCACTCAGCTGGGTTTCTGTGCTGTGAATGCCAACCATCAGTTCCCACTAAGAAAGTGATAGAGCCCAGTACGCTGGTTTAGCATGAATACCAATGACAAAGGCAAGCAAAACAGAAGAAGGAGTCTACCAAGTGCATTGCAATACTTACTACAGATCAAGGCAACAGCCATGCGCAGCAGCTTGAATTGGCACTTCATTCCAGACCAGTTCTGGAAAAAGAGATAACAAACAAAATTATGCTGGGTGCATGTCCTTTCTACATTTTATCCTGGATTGGGGACCTGAACACAGATCTGCATGGCTGCTAAGCATCAAGGAGCCTGATGTCGCTGTACACACAAGGGGACTAAATCAGCCCTGCTCCACGTGGTGCTACTTTGGTCTAATTGCTCAGGGATCCCAGCTCCCCACAACCAAAACTGAGATGCATCAAATGAAGGATTAGCTGGCAGAAGTCAACTAAATCCTTCTGTTCCTTTACTCGGCAACATGACCAGACAGAAGAGGAAGATGTGAAAGTATAGTAAATCCATAAAACCATGAATCCTCATTTAATCCCCTGCACCACATAGCCTTCATTATCACAGGGGCTTTAAATTATTCCTTTTGTCACACTCTTACTCTGCTGTCTTCAATGGGTGTTTACAATTCACTGACATTAGGCATGGCAGAAGGCCCACAGGGTAGGTACACACTAGCTCACAAGTTACATATTATGATTTTACATGGAAATGATAAGGGACAATTAGAAATGTAATGCAGTGCATGGAGTGACTAAAGTCATGCATGCAGTGCATGACCAGACAGAAGGATCAGAGGTCAGGAAAACAGACCTTACGATGAAAGGCTGAGAGCCATGGGGCAATTTAGCCTGGAAAAGCACAGGCTCAGGGGTGATCTGATGGCCACCTATAAGTTTATCGGGGTGACCACCAGTATCTGGGGGAATGTCTGTTCACCAGAGCGTCCCAAGGGATGACAAGGTCAAACAGTTATAAACTACTGCAAGCCCATTTCAGGCTAGACATAAGGAAGAATTTCTTCACTGTGCAAGCCCCCAAGGTCTGGAATAGCCTGCCATCGGAGGTGGTTCAAGCACCTACATTGAACACGTTCAAGAGAAATTTGGATGCTTATCTTGCTGGGATCCTATGACCCCAGCTGACTTCCTGCCCCTTGGGCAGGGGCTGGACTCGATGATCTTCCAAGGTCCCTTCCAGCCCCAATGTCTATGAAATCTATGAAATAAAGATGGTACATAGGGATGTGATACCGGTGCATACGGACTGAATTCAACAGGTGCAAGCTTTGAGAAATCCCATTGGTACTGTATGTGTGTGTTATGTCTGGCTCTAGAGGAAGTCAAATGAGAGAAAGGTTTGGGGTGAGGCTGGAAAGGAAGAGAGAACCCTAATTACCTGCCTCACTAGTACTTTCAAAGTAGAGCACATTAGGATCTGAACAGGAGGACAGGATGCACACCTGCTACCTCCAGCTCAGCTCGGAGACAGGCAGGTGACTTTGTTCTGAAAGCAGCGTGAAACGCAGTTAAAAATCTTTTCCCACTTTGAACTGATAAGTCTCCTTGTCCTAGTCACCCCTTTTAATGAGAATGGCTCAGCCAGGGGCATGAACATTTCAGTATACCCTGTACTTTTTGCAAGCAGGAAATGTGAAGCACCTCACACCCTTTAGCTAAACCATCAGAGTCAATAATGCAGCACGGACACTTGCAGCCCAGCAGAAGTGTTTGCAGTGCAGGATTTAAAAAATAAATTCAGGACTCCAGGGGGAAAAAAAATGAGGAAAAAAATTCAGGCTTTGAGTGGTAGGACTAGGCAAACATTTTCCTTCAAAACTTTTATTTTGACAGAAAATCGTGCTTTTTTTATGAACTTTTATTTTGACTGTGTGTGTCTGCTTTCCTCAGAAAATTTCAAATGTTCATTTAAAAAAATCCAACTGAAAACAACATTTTATAGCAGAAAACTCATTGGGGTTTTTGATGAAAAGTTGAAATTTTCACCAGGAAAAAAAAAATCCATCGACTAGCTGTATTAAACATACAAATCATTTTGATTATAACCCGCAAGCAACTGCATGACAACTGCCCTTTCTCAGTGCAGATACCTGGGTAACCTGGTATACGTCCTAACAGCCCGGAGATGGGGGAATATCGACAGAAAGGCATCTTTGAGGTAGCTTATTGGTAAAACAAAACACCCCAGCTTAACAGAACTACCTGTTTTAATTTTTTAATGAAAAGCAAAATGCTTCTTGAATTACTGACTAGTCAGTAACATTTACCCAGTTTCCTCAACCACAGAGGCATTTCATTTGGAAAGCAAGTTCAGAATACAAACAGTGATTTTTTTAAAACTCTTTTCAGAGGAAAAACTTTCCTTCCCGCAGAGGTCTCCCTTTTTCCCTTCCCCATTGCTACTTCTCTTGTGTCAGAAAGGTTTTGAGGAAGCTTGCCTACCACACCAGCCAAGGAGGATCAGAAACTGCTGTTCCTGCTGGAGCCTGGGGCTGTGCTTATTATCGGTGTTAAAACAGTGCCCAGAGACCTCAGTCGAAGCAGAGGCTGCATTGTGTAGGCGATGTACATGCACACAGACAGATGGTTGGTCCTTGCTCCAAAGGGATTACTAGACAACGCTTACAGTTATATGGAAGAGCAAGACACTGCAGATCAGTTCAGTATCTTTCGACTGGACTCTGCTTGTTGGAAGTCCAGCATGGGTCAGAGACCCCTTTCAAGTTTTTCATGCCGTTTCAGACACCTATGACTGGCAGATGATTTTCCTGTCATCAAATCCAGTCCTCTGCCAGAGAAGGCAAGAAATTGGTGACGCCTCTGTATGCGAGGAGAGGGAATCAACCCCGCATTGCTAACAAAAATTCTAAACAGGGAAATCAGACTTTAAAAACTGGCGATGGAAAAAAACATCAATAGTGTCTACAGACAGCGTATATATATTCACACCATATGGCATCACAACGCATAACATAGGCTAAAGGATTAGACAAGCCTTATTGTTTTCTTTTTTTTGCCCAGATACTGACAGTTTTATAACTTCAACTAAATTCTCTCTCTCTCCTCTCTCCCATGAGAGAACAAATTTAACTTACAGAAGAGACTGTACAAAAGAGCTATGGAAAGCAGAAGCAGCCAGCAGTATAATTAAGCATGCCGTGAATTCAGTGAAAGATTTGTCTGGTTAATAGTCTATAGGGAATCAGCCAATATGACAAATAGATGGACAAAAAGGGCATTTTCTTTGGTGTGCTGGTCTCCCACTGATCTCTGCTGATCCACAGGCATATGCATGAAAGGCAAAATGTAAGGCAAAAAAGAGCATGAATTGTTCAAAGGACCCATGTGACAGAGGCTGGCTGTGAAGTTTTCCAGTGACCAGGAAGAGAGGTTGGATCAACCCATTACAGAGATGGAACTGTTCCAGAAAAGGCCTGGATCCAAAGCCCATTAAAGTCTTCAGAAAGACTCCAACAGGCCCAGAGCTCAGACCTGTGAATGCCTCTGAAGTCTGAGGTGGTCTAGAGCTGAGAGTTTGGGTCTATAGGAACCATATGCATCCAAAATAGAGGTCCCGCCTTTACGTCTCAATGTATTCATTCATAAGCAATAGACATCATCATTGCCATCAAAGTGAGTAGCAAGATTCCTGATCCACTTCTGTGGGAGCTGGATTGCTATGTAAATCCATAAGAGCCCACAAGTAGGTCAGTACTCAAAAAGAGGTCACATCTCACCCCAGCTAACATCTTTATGGGTCAACAGGCTAGTCTGATGATAATGATCTATAGGCTTAGAAGGATTAGATTTCAAATCATTAAGTATCTATAACTGATATTTTCTCCTTCCCTCCAGAACAAATGGAAATAACTTCTCACATTAACAATAAAAAGTCCTAGAAAAAGGGAAGTTTAAAAGATACTGAGCTTACAGACAGCTAACACTGTCTTTTGCTGTCAATCCAATCTAGCAAATAAATTAATGGGGACTATTCTAAAACAGGATGGTCTAACAATATTCCAGTTCTATTTCTGAAGCTTGAATTCAGGTTATTTTTATAAAATAGTATCAGGTTTCAGTTGAATTCCTAGCTAGTGCAAAAATATGGGCTTGTCTACACTGGAAAACTACTGGTACGCTGCATATTCATTAAGAGGATGGTAACATGACTTCACACTCAACACAGACAAGAACAGTCATGCTTAACATTATGTCAGCTGGTTGTAGTTGATTTGTAGGGTTCATATATTAATACCACAAATCTCTTAGTACACTCAAGCCCTGGGGGTACATGTGCTTTCCCGAGGCTGCTGAATCTACCCTATACATCTGGATGTTCCAGACCTGCCATAAAGCATGTGCTAATTTGCAGTGAGTTCAGTGAGTGCATATCCAAGTAACCATGAATAAATGACTTCACAAGGGGGAGTCTAGATCTACCTCACCTGTTTTCAGAGTCAATCATTATGCCATTTCCCTACTGCAGAAACACACAGTATTTAGAAAAATCAAATGAGTGCAATCAGAAGCCTATGGTATAATGGCACAGATTATTACGGTACAAGGCAGAAAACAAGGGCTAGGGCAATAGCATATGGATGTTAGCGCTGGTACAGGATTTTCAAAACATTACTTCTTATGTGGGGCTGTTTCCCTATTATCTGAGAGGCTATTCCAATGATATGGAGCAAAAGGTACAAAACTGGAAGCAAGAAGACAGAAAAGAGAAGTCAGGATAGAAAACTGAAGAGAGGACTAGAGCTTGGTGAATACTACAACCCCCAGAAAAGGTCAAACATGTTTTTGGCAGAACCCAAACAGAAATTTTTCAGTGTCATGATAAAACTAACTAAAATTTGTTTGGGGTCAATTTGGGAGTTAAACTTCTGTTTAACCTGTTTTTCTTTTAACATAGGTCAATGTCAAAGCTAAAAATTCAGAAGTACTTAGGGTGCATCTATACATGTTGCAATGGCAATGCTGTTACTGTGCTGTGATTTAGTAAGTACTAAATCTCGGTGCAGTAACAGCCCGTACTGCGCTGTACATGCGATGCACGGTTACTTTAGCAGCTACTTTGCCATAGCAGCACACTGTACCGGAGGAGTGCATCACTACGGCGAAGTCGCTGCCAGTCATGTGTAGAAGCCCGGGGATGCTACGTCGCAGTAGTGTGTTGCTGCTATGGCAATGTAACATCTCATGTAGACATACCCTTAGAATAACTGTTGATGCAGATGGTATTAATCACTTGATGTCAGATTTGTTTCCAGGGATTTCCCCTTGAAGAAAACAGTATGAGATAGCACACTTTAAGAGGTTTCAAAGCAGCTGTCTACAGCCAAACTAATGTAAAAAAAATAAATAATCTGCACAGGGGAAAGAAATACTTGTAGAATCACATTCCAACACCAGATGCTCTCCAACTCTGACTGCAATCCATTGAAGGAATATTTTATGGTATACATTATAAATATGTATTTAAGTTTTATGTGAGATCTGTCTATAAATCACTTCAGCGGCTGGAAAAATGTAATCTGTACAAAATAAAGTAACTCATTTTCTCATTCCACAGAGACCGCTAACCCAGTCAGAAGGCTCTGAATGCATGCTGACTAATACTGCATTTCTTCCTTCACTCTTCATTTCCATGTAGCTTTGTTGACTTTTTTTCCCTCATTATTATCCTTAGGGTGAAACGCTTTATTGCTTTCTCCTATTGGTTATTTTATGTATTTAGTTCCTGGAATATTTCTTTGTACAAGCAAGGGCATTTTCATTTCCTTTGGCTACCAGAAGGCACAAGGGAAAGGGAAAATTCAGATGACACTCTCTTCCTAACCCGCACCCCCCACACCAAGCACCTGTGCAAAAAGATGAGCCCTGTCAATGGACTCGATGGAGTGGCAAATGAACAGCATCTTTTTCATTATGTAAGAGCTTCTCATGTGAATATTAAGTGAGCAAAGGGGATGGGGGGGAAGCAAAGGAAAACCATTAGAAATAATTCTGTAAGGAAAATTCTTAAAGGTCAGTTCAGATGAGGAAGAAGAGGACAAGGCTGGCTCTCAGTTTATTAATAATCAATTGCTAAATACATTTAGAGGAGAATGCTGATAGGTAAAAGGTTAGACCATCATGTGACATTATGAAATCCGAATACTCCAGCCAACATGAATGGCCTCACTGCTGTGTATATGTACTGCTATTGTCAACTGGTTGGATGCAGGACTGCTCAACTGTGTCACATGTCTTTAATGACCTCCCTTTTGCTCAGGAAGAATGGGGCCCTGTGTTTATGGCACAAGAGGATCTGGGTTCTCTACTCAGTGCTGTCATTGAATAGAGCTTGCAGAGACAACCATGAAGCCCTAGGGAGTCACAGAACTAAGGCCCAGAATTAGGGAGGCACATTGTTGGGGCTCAGTTCCTGTAGGTACAAATCCCTGTATTTACATAGGGATACTGCCCTCGGCAAGGACCACAGGTGCAGAAGCCAGTGTAAGATGTACAGGGTCCTACCAGAAGTATGCTTCTGTGTGGGATTCAGGAGACCCATGTCCCATAGAAATTAATTAGAGTGTGAGGTGCTTCAGCATCTCATAGAATTAGGCCCTTAATTATTAGATGGCAGCTTGACAGAAAGGAGAAGCCAATTGATTGGGACCATAGAAAAGGACAGAAGATGTGAATCAATCTCATGAAAATGTAAATTCTCCACAATATTAGCAAAGACCAAGATGTCAATAAAGCAATCGTTGGATAAAATACAACTTCTTTGCACCTGAGCTCCAACTGCAAACCCTTTGCCCCAAGCAGGGGCCACAGCAACCATTACCATCTTGGAAACTCAGGCATGGGCCAGTCTGTGGGAGGACCCTCCTTCCTTGGCCATTGCATGCATAAGAAATGCTCAGGAAGAACACAAGGAATGTTGTGAAGGAAGCAGAGAGCTCAGTGCTGCCGCAGGAAGCCCATTGTGACCAGACAAATTGGCAGCACATCTTCCCAAAGTAGCCTGCATCCAAAGTGAATGGTCTCATCCCCGACCCATGTACTTCTTGACCTGAAGCATATATATAAACCCCAGATACCCAGTGCTCAAACCATTGTAAACCCTCCCCTATCTCTGCCCTATGGAGCCTTTTCCCTTAAAACAGACCTCTGTTCGCCCCTAAGAGAATTCAATTTTAAGAAACCATATAACTGTGATGCTGTGCAGTCAATGTACCTAGTACAAGAGAGGTTGCCCAGTGCCCAGGCAGGTGCCCTACACCAGCATTAAGTGCTTTCCCATTGGAATCTCTCTCTGCTCGTTTTTCATGGTCTTATCTGCTAACATGCAGGTCACAGCTGTCTTTTGAACCACTGGCAGTTGAGTGGATTACAAATTGGACAAAATATGTCCAGCTCAAGCTGGATTTAAATGAGCACCCAGCTCATCTCTGCTGATCCCAAGTTTCCAAAGAGCAAGTGCCAGATGGTACTCTCTAACAAAAGAGGCTCTGGTTGCCTCCTGCTCTGAAGCTGGTTTCCAGAATCCTGCCTTCTCTACCCATCTAAATTACACAGTCCAGCATTTTGCCAGTATTATCCAGCCTGTTCATACCTTGAATGATATCACAAGAGAACTGGAGGTCATCTCTGCTCAGCCCCATTCCTAGCAGTTTTCTAAGGCTGCCCGTAGCAGTGTTGGCTTGGGAGGGCTGTAGTTTGAGAGTTGCTTCTCTATCTAAAAGACACAGTCTTCTTTCTAAGCTTGACCTAAGTTCAAAATACCCTCCTGCCTTCTTCAGTGCCTACACAACAGACCTGCTGGCTCCATTGTGCTCCCTAATCAAATCCCAGAGCGCATTGGATTACCATCACTTCTCCAGGGCTTATTTGCAGCATTCATAATGCTGGTCTGAAGTGTGGCACAGAAGCACGAGTGCAGAGGAAAACCCAATGACTAGCAAAAAAAAGTCTTGTCTAGTGGTTAGACTACAGGGCATCCAGTCAAGGGTACTGGGTTTTATTCCTGGCCCTGCCAATATTTTGCTGTGTGAATCAGGCAAGTCACTTAGTTTCTGTGTCTTAGATCCCAAGATACTAAATATGGATGGTAATATTTACTGGCCTTTAAAGTGCTTTGTAATGGTCAGACGCTACTGCAGCGCAAACTGTTACACCACTGATATTATCCAGGGTGAGGTCTGAGGCTGAGTTTTGCAAAATGCCTAGGAGAGCTACACACCTAAATACTATTACAAACTACTACAATTCCAGGCCCCAGGCCACCCTTGGAAAGCCTCAGCTTGATTCTGGCACCCTTTTAGTCTGTGTGATGAGAGCAATCGGTCAGTCTCCCACAGGAATCCTAAGTCAGGACTGGCTGCGAAGCATGTAGGCTAGAGTAGGGATAAGAGGCAAGTCTCCATGACAAGTCCCTGGGAGCAATTCAGCCCTTCCTCAGCAGATTAGTTAGTTCAAACACAGTACATGAAAAGACAGCAAGGTGCACACCGACCTGCAGTCAAATGGCTTCATAGATTTCATAGACATTTGGGCTGGAAGGGACCCCGGAGGATCATCGAGTCCAGTCCCCTGCCCCAGGAGCAGGAAGTCAGCTGGGGTCACAGGATCCCAGCAAGATAAGCATCCAAATGTGTCCTGAAGGGGTTCAAAGTGGGTGCCTGAATCGCCTCTGGCAGCAGTCTATTCCAGACCTTGGGGGCTCAGACAGTGAAGAAGTTTTTTCTTATGTCCAGCCTGAATCAGTCGCGGCGGAGTTTGTGACCATTCAATTTTGTCATCCCTTGGGGCGCTCTGGTGAACAGACATTCCCCCAGATCCTGATGCACCCCTGATAAACTTATAGGTGGCCACCAGATCACCCCTGAGCCTGCGCTTTTCCAGGCTGAAGAGCCCCAGGGCTCTCAGCCTCTCATCATAAGGTCTGTTTTCCTGACCTCTGATCATGCGCGTGGCTCTCCTCTGCACCCTCTCAAGCTTCTCCACATCCTTTTTGAATTGCGGGGCCCAAAACTGGATGCAGAACTCCAGCTGCGGCCTCACCAAGGCTGAGTACAAGGGGAGAATGGCGTCCCGGGATTTGCTTGAGAAGCATCTATGGATGCAAGCCAGTGTTTTGATCGCTTTACTAGACGCAGCATTGCATTGAATGGAACAAGGAAGAGCAGAGCAGACTGAGATAGTGCAGCTGTGTGGGCATGACCAAGACAAGGCTTAGGGCTGTAGGCATGAAAGGAAAAGGCTTGTAGGGTAGAATATGTCTGTCTGCAGCTGAAGAAGGGCCTTGCAGTGCCCACCCCACCCCACGGGCAAGAGGAGATAGAATTTGAAGGAGTTGAGGCTACAGGCCCTATGTTTCTTCCTGGCTCTAGTGCTATTTGATGCTTCACCATTCAAAAAAAGGGAAGTTTGAAAACTGGAGGATCCAGACCCAGACAAGCTGAGTTTGGTAAAGTCATGAATACAAATGTGCAGGAGGGGCTAAAGGTGCCTCATGGACAGCTCTGGAAAGTGGAGTCCACCAAAAAGGACAGCAGCACTACAGCCTTCCCATGTTCACTGTCTATACCCCACCAACATGGCTTGACCCTGATATGGAGGGGCAATCTCTAGGAGCAGGACAGTAGCACAGTCTCCATGGGGCAGTCACATCTTTGGCTGTTTCTCAGAGGCCGGCAATCGGGACTGGTTGTTGCCTGCTTCAGTGTGGGAGTGGAGTGATACCACTTCACAAAGCCCACTTAGGGAACATCAGAAGGTGACCCCATGTCACGGTTCACTGAGGCTGAATTTACACTGCTGGCTTCACCATGAAAGCCCCCATTTCCAGTTTTTAGAGTCATCTGGTCTCTCAGAATCCATTCACTTTCATATAGGCTTGACCATTTTTCTGGTACTTACCATTACTATGTTAGCCAGATGGGCAGATACGAGCGCATAAACCCCTCCAGAGGAACCCACCACCGGTGCAGTCATGTCAGCTACTGATACCGCCAGGGAACCTTGGAAGAAGCAAAGGGTTTATTGCAAACTCTTCCTGAATACAAATCCTCTTCACTGCTCTTGCCTGCTCTGTATTAACTGCTGCAGGTCAGCAACATTGGGGGGAAAGTAAATTGACTAAAGACGCTAAATCAGCCTTGCAGCACCGCCAGCAAAGTGACTGATCAATTCTTTTATGTCTGCTTTAAAACTGCAATCAAATATATTTGAACCCCCAGGAAAAAAAATAAAATAAAAGCCCAACTAATGTAACATCAGGCAGCAATGCATCAAAACATGAACAGCAAAAGGAATTCACACCTGGGATGGGAGCAGCAAGCAAGCTTCAGACAAATGTACCCCCAGAGGGGAAAAAAAAAAAGTGAAAACGATTTTAGTCCTGGCAAGACAAGCATTTGTACAACTAGGAGGAACTGGGGACATGTGGCTTATCAGTGGGTTCTGATTTAATCAAAGCCGAGCCTATTACTTGGGACAACAAGGGAGCAATGCAAGCCACAAATAACCTGGGGGCAGCACAGCAGGGTGCATGAAAGAGATTAAACCCAGAAGACAACAGGAAGGATTAATTGCACACACAAATGTTTCTGGGACCCAGTAAGATTTCAGCTAAGTACAGGCATTCAAAAAGCCCGAGCCTGAATTGATTCCATCTTTGCAGGTTAGTCTAACCTGTGCTGATTGAACCAATTTGCAAGTGAATAGACATTCACTTTTGATTCCTGAAATGCAGGCACGTGCCTGCAGTGGCTCAGGCTAGAAGCTGGGGGGTGCTAGAGTGAGCCCTGGGCTGCAGGGAAGCTGTGCTGAGGGGGGGCATGGCCAGGCCCTGGCAGGCTAAGTATGATTGGGAGGGGGTTTAAACCTCCACCCTGGCCTTTGGCCCAGAATCTGGCCATGCCCCCACCCCTGCTCCAGCTAGAGAGCAGAGGAGTGGGGCAGCCCTGCTCCACTGGAGCAGACAGCACAGCCCAGACCAGCCCAGCCCAGGGATACAGAGCATGCTGGGAGGCTGGAGGACTCTGATTTAACTTAAATCAGGAAGGGTCTGGGGCAGATGTTCCATAAACCAGTTTGACGTCAATTAAGTCTGATTCTACATTCAACCAGGTTTATCTCAAACTGGTTTACATGCACTGAACTTCTGTTCTGTTACAGGTTTAAACCAGTTTCTGATCACTTCAGCTGGTTTAGGTGTAAGTTCTTTCCCTAGCCGTTGTGATTAGGGCACTGTTTGGAAGTCAAAAGAGTTCTATTCACAGCTTTCCTGCTAAGTCATTGTGAGTATCTCTCCTCCCTGCCTTGCAAATGATGCACGCTCACCTTGTAAAATGGCTAGAGGGCTGCAGAAAAAAAGCACTAAATACAATTAGGGCAAGTGTGACTCGAGGTACAGGCAGGCATAACAACTTGCATCCGTAGCAAATGCTACCACATTAAGCTGTTACGCTGCAGGATCCTATAAGAATACGTGAACAGAGAAACCATTGCAACATCATCCCTGCTGCATTACAGGGATTTACCTGACTTGTATCACTGCAGAAGCATGTAGATGTACCAGTTGCAGCATAACAAGTGATGCATCGAATGGAAGTCCCCTCCCAACACTTTTATATAACACCCATGGGTACGAGGCCTATGCTGGTCTTGTCTAGCAATGATGGGACATGCTGGAGAACAGCAAGGGCTGGCTGCCAGTTGCTTAAACTCTCTTCTCCTAACAGCTTTCTTTTCTCATTAATGGTGTTGTGGTCCTCTGTTTCCCTGGTGGCCCCAGTTGGGCAGGTTATTCAGCTGTGCTCTAGTTTCAGTAAGCACGTACCAAAACATGAACTTGCTGGAGCTCTTACTGCCAGTGCCATTTTGACAAGAACTTCAGAGCCAATGCAGTTTGATTTTTCCATTAAGGTCTGTGACAAAACCCTCTGAAAAATCAACATTGTTCTTTGCTTTGTAAGTAAGGAGATGTTTGTGTCAGATAAGCAGCACTTCTACACCTGACAGGGGGAAACTTGCTAAGGCTGGGATGCAACCTTTTGCTGCTAGTCCTTAGCATCTTGATAAGGGGGCATAACTACAACCTCCCCTGCACTGAGAAGGAAATGAAGACAAAGGGCATTTCTGCCAAGTGAAGGTACAACTGCAGCATGTACCAGCAGAGCTGAGCTATATTCACCTTGCTAGCATGGGTCATGGTGGCCTGGGCTCCAGCATGTGCCAGGATCCAGAGTTCATACTTGGGCCACCTGGAGAACTGTGCTATGGCCCCTAAAGCCCATGCTGTGGCAACTCCATCACTTCTGGTATCTTTGCTAGCAAGATTATCCTTACCTAGGTATGCTAACCTGTAGTCATCCAATCATCGAGACAAATAGGGCTGAAAGTGACCTCAGTAGGTTAACTAGTCTAACAGTGCTTAAGGCAGGCCTGCCTTAGCTGAGTTAAGGCCAAACCCTAGTAAATTCTGAGGCTCCTTAAATGTTCAGGTGGTGCTCGACATTGTGCAGTCAGGACCCACCTGACAAGGCAGGTCTTGGGGCTGGAGTTAGAGTCTGGCTGGGTCAAGTTACAAAGCTGAATTTTGGACAGTAATTGCAGAGATGAAGAGAGACAGAACTGGCAAGAGCCTGCAACATGAAGCGAAGCTAATAGAGATGACCATGTCTAGAGGACAGGGGAAAACCACAAAACAGCAGAAAGCAGAACAGTCCTGAGCAGGACAAAAGCTTCTAATGAACTTTATATAGCTTTTCTACTTACTCAGCTAATACAAGGCTTGGCTGAAGGCCAGTCAAATGTCAGTGCTACATTGTGCTAGGAGCTGTACAGGCAGGGTAACATTTTCCGAAGTACGTATGTGACGGGCAAATGGGGGCCTCTCTTCCACTGACTGCCAGTGAGATTTGGACACCTAGGGTGCCTGTACACAAGCCCGGAGGCTGCTCTAACATACTGTAGTTAATTGAGTCTGCTGGAGCATGGTAGCTACCATGCTCCAGCCAGTCTCC